TCCAAGGCTGGAGTTTAATGCCCATGAGATTTGAGTTGGGCTTGAAATTTTCTTCCCTCACAGACCTGTTTGATGGATCTACCATTCGCCCTGGCCCCGGTGAGGGGAAGTTATTATCGAAGAAAGGCAGCCTGCTCTTAATTTTTTGAAGCTTCCTCGGGTCAGTAAAGATCGACATTTCCTCTATTTAAGAGAGAAAATAATGTATACCATAGAAAACAGCAAACTAGGCATACTGAGAAAAAACGTTTGCTGTGCTGTCTGCTGGTTTTGCTGAAGTTCCTGGGGAAGGTAAACTTCTTTCTACTCATTTTTTTTATTTGAATTGTTCTGCAAAGTGGAAGTCTTAGATCCTGCAAAGACGTATGTATATACTTAACCTTTAGTTAGTGATTCCACACACTTCAGTTCATCTCTGGTAAATATCCCAAAGGGGCTTTTCATTTAATGAGGATTACATACTTGCTTAAAATCTATCCTAAAAAATGAATCCTTTTTTGGGGGGCACTCAGGTAGGAGCATATAATGGAAACAACTTTCAGACAGGACTTTTTTGGTTAAAGAGTTGGACATTCCCTGGACAGCAGTTGTCATCCTTGAAAGGAATTCAGCAGTGTCTTTATGTAAGAGATGGGGCTTTGAAAAAAACAACAAATCAAATAAGAGTGTCTGAAACTGCATGCCCTGTGAGCTGTACAAATTGAGGCTGTAAAAAACTGCCCTCATGAACTGGGAGACAAGTGAGAGCTGCAGAAGCAAAGCTGCTGATAAAGTCAGAAAATCACAAATGTGACCACATCTTAAAGGCTAGAGAGCTCAAGGAGCAGGCTCATAACCTTGATGGTTATATATGAAAGCCTGATTTTGCTTTATTTAAAAAAAAAAAACTTACATCCTGTTATCTCCACTATGAATTCCCTTTGGTGATGCTGCTCTATAGATGTCCACATCAGGAGAAGTCCTAACAATTTATGAACTTAAGAGATACTTTCTGGTGTAGTGCAGCACTTTGCTAGCTCAGAAGGGTCCCATTTTGGTCTGTTGCCATCCCATGATATCTTGTTTTCTGGCCTGTCATTTTTCTTGCAAGCCTGGAACTGACGATAACTGAAGAATTTTACAGTTCTTAACCACTAGCTCCTAATCTGTTTAACAAGGTAATTTTGTCCTGTGTTATTGCTAACCAAGCCTGAGAGCAAACAGCTGGGTAGAGGAGAGCCAGGTTCACCTCACCTAGTACTCCTTCTGCTCTGCTTTGTTTTCCTGGCTATTACATAGAAAATTATCAAGGCTGAACATGACGGGTAGGGGTTTCTTACTGGAGCTAAGCTCCGTGTGACAAGGTACATGGTTCCTGTCCACCTCCCTTCTTGGAGGGAAGCCGTCCTGGCTGGGTCCAAGCCAATTCTTCTGCCCACAGCGTTGCTATTAATTTCCCTGGTGCTGTTGCAAGTCTTGTGTGAAATCTATAAACACGGGTAGTGCAGTCCAGGTTAGTAATTGCGTAGTCAATGACAAAAGACCTTTACGCTAATCAAAGACCTATTGAAAATCTCCATTTGCAATTTTCCCTTCCATCCCCCTCCCTCCAAATTTCTGGCAAGGGCGTTTGTATGTGAAGGGAGGATTTACACTTTCCCCGTTGCATTTGATGCTCTCTGTGTCTAGGGGAAGGGGTTGCCTAGCACGGGTCCCTGTGCCCGTGGCTCTGGTCCTGGGTTAGGGTAAGGGTTGCCCTGGGGCAGATGAAGGATTAGTCCTCCCTCCGGCACAGCTTCCTCAGGGACTTGCTCAGCTTATCTCTGGGAGAGCTGTTTGCAGCGACTGTTCGCTCTAGTCCGCATATTAGGACTTCTTAACATCCAGCAATTTAGTATTTTGATACTTCTGTGGTGTCTGCATAGCTTTAATTTGGAGTAACGAAGTCCTGAGGGGCACTTGGTGCCCCAGCCTCACAGATCACGCTGCCGGCACAGAACGGCGTCTTTCGGATGTGACTTTTAGGATCAGTTGCTAAAAGTGACGTGTGCGATGGCTTAAGGTCACTTGCAGTTCTGTCTTGTAGCTCAGAGAGAATATCCTCTTTGTATTTGATCACCAGCTCGTTGGGTGGTGATGGCACCACCTCTGAGATGCAGAGAATATTTTTTCATTATAGTACTCCATGCGTCACGTAACAAGATTCAAGATATATACACAGCACTTTTCCTGCCAGCATGGAAAATGCCTTCGGATAATGACTGTCAATGTAGTAGGTGTTTAGATAGTCTTGCTGCAGTGAATACCGTAGGCTTCTCCTTTTCAGATTGTTTTGCTTTTTATTGTATAATCTAGTTTACTGGAAAATACACACTATACATAAACACACACACCTTCTATTTTATGCACACACCATCTTTAGACTTTGTTAATGGGATAGCAGGCAAACTAAATGTGGTTCCCATGACTTTTCCTTGAAATGTTTGCATTTCTGCAGGTCTTGGAGCAGCAAAAGGATTTTGGTAGCTGTTGACCATACACAGGTTGCTCTTAGCTTTGCAAATAACAGGTAGAAAAAGGCCACAAAAAGCTTCTTAGACATGGGTGAAGTAAACGTGAGTATGATGGTGCACAGAAGGCTGTGGTTACCCAGCTTCTGGATAGAAAAGAAACCCAGGAGTTATTGGGTTGTTGAAATATTCAGGTTACCTATTAGAAATCTTTTGAGTTCGTAACAGAGTGTGAGATTACAGAGAATAAAATATTGTAATCATATTTAAAAAATTATAGTGATTATGTAAATTTGAAATAAACGAAAATTAATACTCAGTACAGTGAAACATCCTGAAATGCTTGGAAATTAAATATGTAAAGGATGTAAAATGAGACCAAGACGACCATTTTCCAGGTATGATGTTACAGGCCGTTCAGTGAAGGACGTTTCTGGACACCCTGCCACCCTTTCCTGTCAACCTTAGTTAGCAGTGAGAGGCAGAAGCCTTGGTGGAGGTCGTCTGTTTGGATCTAGCTGCATAGAAATTCTGCTTCTTCACCTCTGCATCTGCAGGATCGCTGTATGATTTCAGTGCTGATGGTTAGATATCGCTCTGTCAGAAATCACAGTTTTGGGGGGCCCTTCCATATTCTGACAACAACAGAATATTCATCCAATCCCCTGAGCCATCGTGAGGCTCTGCCCACAAAGAGGTTTTTCCACGTTTGGCCCTCTCCGGTCCCCGCCGGAGCCGTCACGCAGGATTCTCAGGATACCTGCATTTTATGGGGCCTCTTCTGCGGCGCTCGTGGCGGTCGCTCCTCTGTGCCACCGCGTGAGTCGCTTCCCCTGCTCGGGTGTCTTTACAGGGCAGGGCTAGTGCTAAGTCCCGGTGCCTGCGGCTTCCTGGGGCCGTTGCTCCCTGTCTCACGATTGTTTGACCCACAAGATTTATTTGTCCATTTTTCTGCAGGCTTTAATTTGATGTCAGAAGCCATTAAGCCCTCCCAGTCCTGCGGGTCTGATGTTGAGCAGCCAGCAGCATTGATTTGCCGTTGGCAGGAGGGCGCGCTGGCTTCCACCAGCAGCTCTTTTTAAAAATAATTCTGTTTGCTGCACGCCAGCGAGTCCCTGTGTCCCCTTTCAAATGCCTTCGTGTTGGCTGCAGCGAAGCCCAGCGCGTGAGAGATGAAGCAGCGTTTAAGCCAAACACCCTCCCACATATTTCCAAACCTTTTAGTAGTGTTTGCGCTGAAATTTTCACTTAAAAGCCAGAGCAGTTCCGAGCCCCACTTGATACCCATTGTAGAGACATCCACTTTCTGTGCGGAAAGGGCAACGTTCAAGCCCGATGCTCTCGGGGTGACTTTTGCACCATCCTGCTCTTGGGTCTGGGGACATCTGGGAGCATCCAAAGCTCTGGAAGGGAATCAAACCTGGCCTGTGACACAGAGTAATTTAGTCATTTTAATCATCATCTGGGACTCCATGAATTATCGTCTGTACTGTGTGTTACTGTGATCTCCTTGGTATTCAACAATGGCTTTTTTAAAATTACCATATATATTATATAGAGCTAATATACTAAGAGATACCTTAAGGGTAATTATCAAGTATGTAATTTCATCTGCAGGTCCTTATAATGATGGTTAATGTCATAAATGCTTTTTAATGAAATTATAGGCTTGTAACCCTGCCTGACTATCCTTTATATGTCATATAATTAATGAGACCAAGATTCAATGCTCATCCCTGTGTCGCGGGGCGTCATGTAAACTTCCATGCTGATGGTAGAGGGTTGGTCTTTCATCAGAGTACGAAACAGATTAAAGCCAGGCAGCTTGAATGTGTATGTGAGCTTATCTTTAAAGGCAGCTGCATGGACTTGTTAGCAAAAGGACTTCTAACAGTGTATTTATGACACTATTTATGACAGTATGTATTTTTATGTATTTATGACAGTAGCCAATGATCTAATATGTAATTCTAATACGACATGCAAAATTTTAAGGGAGTGAGAAGGCAAGTGGATTGCAGCCTGTGGAACACAAAATTGTTTTCCTCCTACTTCACTAAGGGCAAAGTACTGAAAATTTGTGTCTAATTTCAGCATGTGGAGATGGCAAAGAAGCATCATCTCAATTTCGGGATGCTGGCCTGAAACCAGTGTCTTAATATGTCTATGCTGCAGATTCCTTGTCTGAAAAAACAGGAACTGTAGACAAAGACATTTCTAGATTTAAAATTTGCTGGAGCAAGGAAGATATCTGTGTTTGTTATTTTCTTATTTTGACACCTTCCAAAGAATCACAGATTCCTAGAATCATGCAGGTTGGAAGGAACCTCAGAGGTCATCTAATCCCACCTCCTGCTCTGAGCAAGGTGATGGATGCTGAATTTCAGGCATCTGGGCTCTTTTATTACTATCAGTAATAATATGAGGAATTTTACAAGACAGCCATGACAAGTAGTCCTAAAAATTCATGTGTGACTCATTAGGGTTATTTTATTGTTCTTTGCCCTTCAGGGAATGATGTACCTGGAAGAGAGGAGACTTGTTCACCGGGACTTGGCAGCCCGGAACGTCCTGGTGAAATCACCAAACCACGTGAAGATCACTGACTTTGGCCTGGCCAGGCTTTTGGAAGGGGATGAGAAGGAGTACAACGCTGATGGAGGGAAGGTGAGTACCCCACGTTTCTGGAGGTAAATATACCATGCTTTTATGAACCTTCTGAAGCTTTAGGACAGTATCCCAAAGGGACTGTATGTAAGAAAGTATGTTCAGGGATGTAGCAAAGCCCTCTCTTCTAGCAGTCAGCTGTGTCATGATACCAGACATAAAAGCTCTTTTGTTTTGCTCTCTGAGTTTCTACAGGTCTCTCAGTAACATCTTCTGAGCGGCTATCACACTCAGAATGAGGTTTTGCTCTTATGCTCCGTTTTGTGTCTTGTGTTGAAGATTCGTGAAGTCAGTCCAGTGAGTGATGGCTGTTCTAGTGCCTTGCCGATGGGCCTCCTTCTCCAACCAGGGTGGACCTCAGCAGTTTGCAGGCCCATTTTCCCAGACAGGTCTTTTTTCAGGAAGCAAAGAGGAGGGCTACAAGCATGTGAAAGAGTTTACATGAGCTCTGCAAAGAGTCACTGCCTGTGTGACAGTGAAAGAGCCTGTGTGTACTATTGCCTGCCTCTGAGTCTCCAGGGCCATTGTGAATGCCAGCCTACTGAAAGATGGCTTCAGGATCATTTTGAAACCAGACATTTTCTCATACTACCTTTCAGCACACCTGGGAGCTTCCACACACTTTCATAATGTCTTCAGATTGAAGCATGACAAAACTCAGAAGACCATAAACACATATTTCTGCTGGCTGCTCCCTTAACAGCTCGAAATTCTACATTTCAGCCTGTCCTGAGTCACAAAATCCCAAGGGGCTCTGCCTTTCCTGTCACTCCTTTTCCCAAATGTTCCCTTGGTTTTCCATCTACTTGCTGCCTGGTTTTTCTTTCTGCTCACTGACACATGTGTCTGGGAAAAGCAGCTGCTGCCAGTATGTGCTTTTCCCATAGACGGGCTTCTGCCTTGTTTGTGGTGCCACTGCCCTTGGCAGCTGTTGCAGGATCACGTCAGCATCGCAGTGAGTGAGGCGAAGAGCTGGAAAAGAGTCACCAGTGCCTTCCCATTTGCCCCTCCTGGCAGGAAGAGGGGAGGTTTGGCAGTCTGCCCTGATTCCTTGGGTTTTCTAATTCCCTCCTCAGTCCCTCGTCTGCCTCTTCTCTGTCTCTTCCCTCCATCAGCCAGTGAATGACAGAAAATGAGCAGCTCCTTGCAAACCAGCTGTTCCCTGGCAGCTGTTCGGTGGCATCTCGGATTTGTGAGGCCACCCTCGTGGGAGTTTGGAGAACGATTTGCACATTGAAGATGTCACTTCCCTGTTCCAGAGAAGTGTTCTGTTGCATCCAGAAGGCATTTGCAGTTTAAAGTTATAATGTAAGCCTGCTGAGAGAGGTCCAGCCTGGCTGAAAGGCAAAGCCTTTTCACCATGAGGACAGTCAAGCAGTAGCATACGTTGCCCAGAGAGGTTGTGCAGTCTCCCATCCTCAGAGGTTTTCAAGACCAGTAACTTAATAAAGCCCTGAGTAACTTGGTCTGATCTCGTCACGGACTCAACTTTGAGTCAGAGGTCTCAACCTGCAGCCCCTTCCTGATTTACCCTATGACAGTTGATGGGGCTTTGCTGTTCCAGCTTGGAAAATCCCTGTTGAATTTGATGGGAATGAAAGCTGCAGAGCTTAGTGGAGGAGGATGAACCATCTTTGCAAGTGCTAAGCCAACCTTTAATAAAGAGTGCTATTTTTGCCATAGCTCTGCACAGGTTATGTTTATGAGTCAACTACATGGAAGGTATTTTCAAGAGGGTTTGAACGAAGACACGTCCTCTGCTTTTACACCCACCATCTGTTCAGATACTGCAGTAATGTTTCTCTTCAGGGTTTCCTCTGCTGCTAGTTCCATAGTTCCCATTAGGCAGGACCTGCACAAGGCCACGCTGGAGAACATTGGGTTACATGTCTATCCATCAGAAATCAAAGGACTGCAAGGCTGTGCTTCAGGGGCCCTGTTCAGGAGAGGGAAACACCAGGAATTTCTTCCAGTGCCGCCTGGTTTTGCAGACTATTGAGCAAAAAAGGCTCCCGCGTTCCAGCTTTTCTGCTCCACTTCAGATTCAGGGAGGTTGGATGTAGCTTTTTTATTTGTCCCATCCTTACACTGGAGAAACTAGGTGGTGGACTCGGGATACAAACTCCTAGCATGGCAAAAAAAAAAAAAAAAAAAAAAGGTGTTTGAGGTGTTTGTTATATCTGAATCACAGCTATCTGGGTGGTATGAAAAGTTGTGCAGACAATTAATGTAGATTTCTCCCCTTGGTATGTTTTGTGAGTCCAAGCCCATCTTCATCCTGCTCGGTTGCAGAAGGCAGCAATAGCCATCTCCTGGGCTGTGGTCGTGCTGCTCTTCAGTAAGTCTGCAGCTGAGAAGGGAAACGCGGAGGAAGCTGGTGTCTGCATTTAGTTAGGATGTAGTCATATTATTTTAATATTCTATTCCTAAGCTGCACTCTCTCTCTCCTTTCCCTAGATGCCAATTAAGTGGATGGCTCTGGAGTGTATACACTACAGGAAATTTACCCATCAGAGTGATGTTTGGAGCTACGGTAAATCTTGATGTGATTCGTTTGAAAATTTGACTCATGTAATGCATTAAACCAAGCTCTGCTATTTTACACATTTTCTTTTTCTAGAGGAGTTAATTCCAGTGGTACTTCCCCTTTTTTTGAATGTGTGTCTCTAAACAGTAATTGTTACTTGTCTCCTGTGCTACCTCGCTGCTCACTAAAATACATTATCACAGTGTCCCTGCTGGGATGACTGCTGTAAGGGCTGGTTTGGTAGCAGTTTGGCTGATTATTATGACGGAGAAAGGCCCCTTTCAGCTTAGCCACAGACTCATAAAAATCTGGCCGCAGGTCATAATTTTCAGCAGTCCTTTGAAAACCTTAACTCTAAAAGCCATGAATGTCAAAAAACATTTTCAGCCTTATGGGACTTCTGGTACCTAAAGTCAGATAAAAGGGAATTTGTCATAACATGGAGTGAATACGGGAAAAGAAGGAGAGGAGGGAGAAGGAGAAAGAGATGAGCTACCTAAAACACGCATGGGTTTAATTTGGCAAATAACTTAAGAGTTGGTTAGACAGGTCTGTTCAGGAGGACTCTGCACATAAAAAAAAACCACATTTGATAAATGAGGTGTTTATTTAATGTTGTTAATTCTGTTATCCAGGTGAGCTGCGGCATCACATCTGTTGAGCTGTCTGCATGTTTATCTAGTATGGCTATTACTAATAAAATCATGTATACCTTTGTGAGTGGGATTTTCTGGCAGTGGCTGGGATTGCAGATCTCCATTTGCATTTCCTGTATCCTGTAATTTTGAAACAAAAAGGTGTGAAATCCTATTCACTACTCACTTTTACCTGTGGGTAGCAGCAAAAGATACTGTTTGCGTTGGCTGAGTACCTGCCCTCTTCTATCTAGCTAAGAAAAATACGTGATACTTAAATTAATCATATAAACCTGCTCTTTCTCCTCAAATTCTGCATCACCGCACTTAGGAAAAAAATATGCTTTCATTTATGATATTCATTTTAAAAGCAGGAAGCCCAGAATATCTGTAATCTTGAAGAGCAAAGTCAGGAAAGATTAACAAGTTGTAGTTACTGAACATCAGCCAGGAGGTGAACAAGAGTGAACTGAACGTGTGTTTTATGCATATGGTATTTTTACCTGTCACTTTTCAGATTAGCATGGCAGTTGGCATAATATAGTTAGTGATCTGGAGGCATGTTTTAAATGACCTTTGCAATAAAAATAAAAGCAAAGCAAAACACTGTTGCAAAAGCAGCATCGTCAATACTTAGGATTATGTTTGAGGACCTATTCTGTTACTTACAGTATATGGTCTTTATTTTCCCGCTCAACTGACAAAACAAGTCCTATGGCTATTCAGGAAGATCATCTTGATTTTGAAGCACAGCAATATCATAATTCAAATCCATAAGGCAATATAAGGAAAAAAATAGTACAAGTGACCGAATGACTTACAAAGCAAAGACAATGACATAACATTATTTGGTGTGGTACCTTTCTGGGAAATTGATGCTCCAAGTTAGGGAACATCTGCATTTTTCCCCTTAAAATAATAGAGTACATCAGCCATTCAGTTTTTTTCTTTTGATATGATAAAAGAGCAAGATAGATTCACTTGTTTATGCATCCATTTACTTGCCCACCATTTATTTGGCTTAGGCCTGTCTCTTGTGTTTGGGTCTCTCATGTTTGCTCTTGATGCCAATAAAAACAAAGAAATTCCATTTAAAGATTAATGCAAAACACTGTTTAACCACTTTCCATAGCTCTTTATATGACAGACCAAACTTAAGTCTTTCTAAAGGCAGTGAAAAGAGATTGGTGATCGTATTTTGGTCCAGAGCTGAGCCACAACACGGATTTGTAAGAAATCGCAAAGGACTCTAAAAAATACCTAAATATCTAAAAAAAAATCTGTTTTTTTTCTTCTTTTTTTTTTTGTCTAGGGGTCACCATCTGGGAGCTGATGACTTTTGGTGGAAAGCCATATGACGGAATCCCGACCCGCGAGATTCCTGACCTCCTAGAGAAGGGCGAGCGGTTGCCCCAGCCTCCAATCTGCACTATTGATGTTTATATGGTGATGGTGAAATGTAAGTGATTGCAGCTTGTACTATCCCCATACTCAGCACCAAATGAACATTTACATGTTTTATTTTAGAACATTTACATCTACAGTCTCCGACAGTGCTGGCTAATAGTGCACGCTGTTTCAAAACAAAAGTTTCCAAAGATTCTGTAAATTACGTTTAAACACTGCATGCACATTTTTTTTCCAATTGTAAAAGATACGAATTTAGCCATGAAGGGCTGAGTTAGCTCAGCTTCTTATTACTGTCAGGTGATATCTCACATTCTTGCTGTGAAGTCAAAATTGTGTGATTGTTATTGTAAACCCTTGTCATTTCCATGACAATTGATTTTGATGTTAAAAAAGATAGTATTAAATGTAATTATGGTACATGGATAGTCAGCTAGTGAAGGCTGTGAGGAGAAATGCTGATTCCAAATATTGAGGAAAGAAAGCATAATGTTTTATTGTTAATAACAGCACTGAAAATTGCAATAATAATAACAAAAAGCAACCTTATGTTACTATCCTCCTATGGACAGGAGGATTTCTTTTTTTGTCATTCTTAGTCCAGTGCAATAATTTATGAATATTTTTACTTAAGTTTGCTCATGTTTTTTTCCTACACTTTTATCTTCAAGATACCTACACCAGTGACTGTATCCTCCAAGGCTAGGCTTCTAATTTAAAAAGAATTAGGAACATCTCTCTGGTGTTTCTGACTTAATTTAAGTGAGATTAACATGCAGCCATCTGATAGAGGCCTTTCCCTTTTGCTTTGTACACAAAAATACTGGGAGAAAGAAGACAGAACTGGAGGAGGTAAATACATATCTCTTGAATGAAATTCTGCTCGGAGTTGCCTGTAGTTCTTGAAGCTCATAGTGCAAACCCAGGAGTCCAACCCAGGAGCTTGTTTTTGGAATATATGTAATTTCATCTCTCTTCCTAACCCAGTCCTCTTTTGGCATCTTGAGGACTGCACTGCTTAGCAGTGGTGGAAAGTTTGAGCAGCACATGCATAATATAAAGGTTGTTGAGTTTTCGATGCATGTAGAAATCTAAGACAGTAGAGAACAAGAAGTATCCAAAGAGAGCTGTTCTCAGGTTAGTTCAGAAATTAGGGAATATCCTGGCTCCATCAGGCACTTAGGCAGGGTACTATGCAGGGGTTTTCAATATGGCTTAAGGTACTTCAGGCCGCATTTTTCAAAACAGACAGGATTTGAATCCGCAAAACTATCTGATACCTGCAACTCCCCTGGAATTACTACCAGCAATTGAGGTGGATATTTTGAAGGATTTGGTTTTCACTTATCAATTCTCTGTTATTCTTACACATCAATATGAAGACTACTGACGTTGTCACAAATGTTACCTTGAAAGAAATCAGTAGTCCTGCAACATGTGTTTGAAGTTCTTTACAAGCTCTAGTGGCTTTATTCCTTCTGTATTGGCTACTTCTTCAGTAAAACAGAGTGAAGGAGATAAGACCTGCTTGGTTTAGCCTCCCTGGCAAACAAGAGTGTCTATTTGGGAAGCAGCTGATAGAATCTTCCATTAGAGGAAGCTAACACTGAGATAAACTAGTTGCTCTTGGGGAGCACCCATACCGCTTGCTTGTTTTGCAGAAAATGTTAGAAGGGATTGAGAACTGTTGTTTCTAATGAACATTTCTTGGAGAATGAAGAACTAAAGAAGCCTCCTGGCATAATTACAAATAGTATCTACCGCTTTGGTTGTGGTCTGTGTTAAAGACACATTAGTGCAGAGTTACCTGCAACCCACAGGTCAGTGATCCTGCAGGTCTGTTGAACAGCTCTTTATAATCTGAGCCACAGGGGACTAGCAGATTAGTTAAAAACTGTGTATACTAGTAACTCAGTAACGAGTTGATATCTGAATGAGTAAGCAAGACACAGAACTGTTACAGGCATTGCTACTGTCACTGTCTTGGGGATGGGAAGCAGGAACTCAGAGCAGATTAAGAAGAAACTCTTGCCATGTGCAACACCCAGTCTCCTCTGATCAAGACCAGATGTTTTCCATGATAGTTGCACCTGTTTTCCTGGGCTCTTTATTTCATCTTTTCTCTACGTTTTCCAGCATGCTTTGCTTCCTTGACAGTTAAGTGGTTTCTTTCTTGTCTATGATCTGTCCCCAGGCTGGATGATTGATGCCGACAGTCGGCCTAAATTCAAGGAGCTGGCAGCTGAATTTTCTAGAATGGCACGGGACCCTCAAAGATACCTGGTTATTCAGGTAAGCAACTCTACAACATAGGGAAAAACGAAATCTGTTCAGCCTGTATATGAGCACATTACATGGCCTTGCTTTGCAGGCTGCTGAATATTTGCACACATTAGGGATGAGGTGTGTCCAGCAGTGAACCTGCTTTAGACCATGGGCCTTCTCGGTCTGCCGTTGCTTGGGCTAGTCAAAGGGGAATGTCCTGAAGAAACTCTTCCCTGTGCTGCCAAAGTCACAAGAAGGGATTTTTGCAAAATCAGAACATGGAAGTTTCTCAGAAAACAGGGAGTCAAGTGACACTGATGCTTTTCCTTACTGCTTCATCCTATATTCTCCTTACACAATGTGTAGGCTCAATAGAGCCAGCAGTGCTTCACAGTCTCTGTAGTAGCTACTCACAGCATCACTGTGGCACTCTGGAAATGCTAGTAGAGCAAGAGCTGTGGTTGACCTCCAGCTGAAGCTGTGTGTACCCTGAGCACAGGCTTCCCTGCAGATTGTTTTCTTTGGCTCCTACATTCCGCAGTAGCCTGGAGCTGTTTGTGTAGGCACAGGGAGTTTCATTGTTAATACTTTGCTGCTGATAACAACCACCAAAAAAACCTAAGAGTTTAGAGTTTTGGCATTGTTTCTCAAAATGTGGCTTCTGTCAGATTCTCTCCCATTGGAAAAAAAAAGAAATGAGGAGAATTTTCTCACTTAGCCCCTTCCTTTCACCCCAAAAGTTTTCATTCGAAGAATATAATATTGTAATACTTGACTCCTTTGGGAAAGACAAGTCATGCTGCTAAGCCCCAGAGCTGTAACTGAAACTAAAGCCACACAAATTGGATCCATCACTTGGTAAGGTCCGTAGATGATGCCGGTATGCGAGCGCTGATGTGGAAGCACCAGAGACCAAAGCACGGAATTAGTTTGAGGCTAATACTGTTTTGCTACATCTGCCCCACATCATGGAGCACGAGGCAGAGAGAGGCCCAGCTGCTCCTCAGCTTCACGTCATACCTGAAGTGCCTCCAAGTATAGTTGCTGCTGATTGTGTGTGTCCTGACTGCTTCTAGTACTTGCACTGGGTACATGCTATATATATATGTGCATATATGTGTGTGTGTATAGTATATGTGTGTGTATTTTCAGCGTATATATGTATATTTGGTACACGGCATGACAGTTCTTAGGATTTATATTGTTCTGTGGGATGCCATTCTTTCCGCATACAGTTAAGTTTAGCATCATTTCTGCAGGCTCTTAGGTGTTGGAGGCATTGGCTGCCTTTTCTCATGTTTTCTGGTACTAAGCAAAGTGCAGTCCTGACTTGCACTGCCACCTTGCAGGTGCTTTTTAAAGAAAAATATTAATCCTTGTTGTTGTTTATTGTTATCTGGTTTGATTTGTATCGCTTTCAGCACTTCTGTGTTCTGCAGAGCCTTCCATACAGATGAGAGAGAAATTTAGCCCCTGAGTCCCTAAAAACACAAATGAAAACAAAGCAAATTCCCAGACCCAGCAACTTCCATGTTTTTTTCCCCCTCCGCAAGCCTGAATAACTGAGATATTTCACAAAATATATCAGGCCATGACAAAACTGGGGTCAGAAACTAAGCTTGTGTGGGAAAAAGGGGGAAGGAAGAATAAAAGCTCAATCACAAGAATGCCAAAAAATGACTTTGCTTGATTTATGCAGTTATTCCCTTTCTGTCATCATATTCCTAGTAAAAAAAAAATCAAAACAAATGATGTGAATGTGCTGCCTTAGAACAATCAAAGGCAGCATGTGAGGTCCCCACAGCCTGCCTGCCAGGACATGAAGAAGCCTGGAGCTCCCAGTTGGGAAATTAATCCATCTTCTTGCTGTTTTCTTCTCTCTACATAACCTACTTAGGGAGACGATCGTATGAAGCTTCCAAGTCCAAATGACAGCAAGTTCTTCCAAAACCTTCTTGATGAAGAAGACCTGGAAGATATGATGGATGCTGAAGAGTATCTTGTTCCTCAAGCCTTCAACATTCCTCCTCCCATCTACACTTCTAGGACAAGAATTGATTCCAACAGGGTAAGAGCGAGTTCTGATAGAAAATACTGGTTATTACAAAAGCACAGGGAGCAGTTTACCTGCACTAATCAAACACAGGCCCAAGCTGCCTCGGTCTGTACAAGCAGCCATTGTAAGAAGGGTGACAATGTCCCTGGATTCCCTGTTTGTTGTGTTTTAGTGAATTACTAATTTATGGGTCAGCCTTGGGCGAGCAGAGGCTGGACTTGACCTGCATCTCCGGAGTGCACAGCTGATGCTCTCAAGTCAGGCCGTGTTGCTCGCGATCATGCACCATCATGGCCAGAGAGCACACAGCTCTGATTCTCCTGTCCCTGCAATGCAGTTATCTGGACAGGGTTGGCATTGATGCAGCTGAGGCAGCTGCAATGTATAGATAATGCTGCTTTTGTGCCTCGAGCCAGATCTCAGACCCTTCACCCACTTACATGCAATGCTTTCGTGGCCTTCCTTCACAAGCATGTGTTTGGGTTGAGCACATCACGGTTTTTAGCATGTTTATCTTTACACCATCCCTGTCACGGAAGAAAATGCCATTCATTTTATAGGGGAAACTGATGCACAGACAGGGTTTATGTGGAGTTCAGCCCATGTAACCCCAACCAGCCAAATGATAGGGATATAATCTAAGCTCTTCTTCAGGGCCTGTTGCTGCTCGTGGCTTTGTTCTCCTGGCAGAGTAGAGGCCACCCTTTCTGCAAAAGGGAGATTTGGTGAAATGGCATTATGTGGATGAGCACGTGCAAAACAGTGTCACATGTATTTATTATGTGGGGACTTCGAGTTCAGGTTGGTTTGTTTGTTTTTTCTTCCATACACTCGTTTGAGTAGAAAGTCATGTTTTGAAGTACAGTCAGTCTTATTCAGATTTTTCATGTTTATTCCTGTTGGTTTAGAAATCTTTGGGATGTTTATTTTTAATCTAAGTAGTTCCAAATTCACACCCTAGGCTGAACTGAGTGCACCGGGAGGGGCCAGGGATAAGGTAAGTGAAGTTTAGCTATTGAGCTGAAATCCTGCTCCCAGCACTTCTGTAGTGTCCATAGCTTGTAAATAATCCAGATAAACAGTGGCCTGAAGCTTGAACCCATGGGTGCCTCTGACTTTGAGCCCCCTTTTTCAGGGAAGACAAGCACAGTGAAGTGAGGAGTCCCATGCAAGGGAATCATGACAAGATCAGTGTTCTTTGATGCTGGGATTCCAGTGGGATTAGAAATCTTTGGAGAAGGTCTGTGGTCTCCCTGGTTGAGCGGGATTCACCTAGCCTTATTCCTGTGCCGCTGGAAACCAGCACGATGGTGAATTAGGATGTAGCCTTTTCCCTATCCCTTCCAGTGCTCTGCATTCCCCAGCCTTCAAGGGAGGAATAATGCATTATTGACCAACAAGCCACAAGAGTTAATTTTTAGTGTCGATGCTAATATGAAATAAGTTAATTTTACTCCTAGCTGTCTCTGGAGAGGTTCTGTTTTCTTTGCTGCCAGCTTCTGAGAGAAGAGCGAACCAGCAAGAACTGCCTTTGAAGCTGCTCATGTTCACACTGGTGTAAAGCAGTGTAACCCCATGTCACACAGTGGAGGTCAACCACTTACACCAACATAGCAGGGAGAGAGCAGAATCAGACCCGTAAGGTTTGCTAGATTCATCTCAGATCCCGAGTTACGACAGAAACTCTGGGGCAAATTTGAAGGAGAAGGTTTAATGGGAAAACACACCTGCCTTCTCACCAGCTCCATTTGCCCTCTGTATTCCGAGATGGCTGAGCAGGGAACTCAGCTGGAGCTCAGGGCATTCATTCCAACAAAAATCCTAGAGTAAATATTCTGAAAGAGTTATTTAAAATGTGCTGTTTGGGCAGCCAACACAGTCGCTGGGATATTCATGGAAAGCAAACAGAAGCTTTTTTACTGTTAGCATGTGAAAATTTGGGTGACTTTCGAGCTTTTTCCCTGCTGGAACTCCCCGGTGGCGGTGCTGGTGGGCACACGAGGCGCAGGGGAGCCGGGCCCCTCGGATTTGCCCGCGGAGCGGCTCCGTGGCGCTCCGGCCGCGCCGTCTCCTCAGCGCGGCGCGCGGTTCCCGCCTTGGCGCCAGGCCCTGCGCTCGTGCCGCTGGGAGCTCTGCGCTCCAATTCGTGACAGCAGCGACTCCTTCCAGTCGCTCCCTGCTGATGGGAGCGTTCCTCTGCCAGCGTAGGGCAATCTAGCACTTAAACAAATCTGGGATTACTCCTTGCCTAAAGTTTTCAGGCTCTGTGTCAAGTCTTCTGTGCCAGGTTACCTCAGAGAGGCCGTTGGGACACAGGAGCTTGTACGCGGTTCTGAGCCCCATATTTTTGGATCTCTTCTGTCTTTATGGTGTTTTTCTAATTATTGCAGGAGTGTCTTTACAGAGGGGTCATTTTTAAGAGCAGTGAAGGAGATGAGTAGAGAAGTTGCTGATGAACATCTAGCTGACTTGTAATAGCAGCTCTGGGAGTCATTGGAGACCGACTCCTCTCTCATGGCAGGATTAGTAACACTTAGAACTTTGAGGCTTGTCCATTGCCTCCGATTATCTTAAGTTTATTGTTTTTCTCTTAAGCTAAGCTGAGTTTTTCCATTGCAGCAGCACTCCTCAGTTGCAATTCCATCCCGTCGTTTTTTTTTCCAGCTTTTATATTCTGTTGTCTAGAAATACGGAGTTTCAGAAGCTCTGTGCTTCCGAGAGATAAGCTGAATCCTCAGCAGTGTGTCCATGAGCGCAGGACTTCAGCCAGTGCTCAAATGTCCTACATCCAGAGCCATTAGGTGATTCATTCCGGTATTTGTAACGAGCATGGCCTTGTGTGCGCTGAGATAATACTCATACAGCAAGCACTCTGTGTACCCCATGATGCTTTTTGCTCTAAATCCTTGCCTAATTCGCCCTGAAAACTGTCTCTGCTGTTTATTACTCATCGATGCTGTTCCTGTCATTTTATTCTGTACCCTATATATTATTGAAACAGCTGCCAGCTCTGCAGTTGAAGTTTTTAGGAAAGGGATCTAAAGCATATGTCCAGGGAGATGGTGCTGATGAGCTGATGCAGGATCTGCTACCGCAGAGGCCAGATTTTAGTTGCCTGCGTGGGTTCTGGTATCCCATCCGGAGTGCTCTGGTGCAGGAGGAGGCCTGGAAATACTTTGTGGCTGATATCTGTGTGTCTGTACGTGAGACAGTCATCCCAGAGGGAAGCTGGGCAAGACGTTATGTCTATGATTACTTTGCTCTGATTTCTACATTTAGAAAGTAGGTTTTTTGAAATCATAAAAATTCCAAAGGAGAAGGTGATAAGTGGGTTTCAGATCCATTTCAGAGGGATGTGGCAGCTTTCCTTCCATAGTTCATCATGGACAGCAGGTACTGTTTGCCCCGTGTGATTGCTGCCAGATTCAGGTGACTTCAGTAGGTGACTCCAGCAGTAGAAGATCAGCTCTGATGTCTGTACGGCCTCCTCTTTATCTGGGTCAGTTGTGTTGTTGTCACCTCTCTGCTTCTGCAATATCTTCCCGAAACTTATATGACTAAAACTGTCCTTAAATTTGATGCTTATTATTGCAGTCTGCAAGTCCTTTTTGTTTTTTTTTTTATCTTGCAGTCCCATTTCATTAATACTCTCTCCTTCTAATGAAAAGGTGATCAAAAATTATCTGCAAACCTTAGTAGTCATTTTTTCGCCTTCCTGCTAGTCCCCATTGCTTCCTTATGCAAATGCTGCAATGAAACCTCCCATGCCAGAACAGATGAAGTTGTAAGTTAATTAGACATTGTATCAAAGGGCTTGATAACGTTTCAAAAAATTATGCTGACAGCATCTCCCCGTTAGCTCCTTTGCTTCTTCAAAAACTGCTTGACTAGTTAGGAACACTCAAACTTTTTATGAGTCTGTTCTCCGTGCCTTTCATTAAATGATAGTATTTTGTGGATTTTCCTAGATGAGGCCCATTAAGAGACTAGCAGATAGTACAACTGCTATAGTCAATTCTGGACTTTCTCCAAGTCCCCTTTGAGGGTTTTAAATCCTCCTTTTCTGCTTCTGTAGGTTTTAGTGACATATTGGGGGTGGGAGTTTCCTATCCTCTCTGCTCTGTGTTTTGTATCAAGAAAGTTTTGAGTAGCTGTTAGTGCTTGCCCAGTGTCTAGCCAAAATCCCAAATGTTCTACCTACTAATGCTCTTCTCCTAAGAAATGCTCCAGAAGGTGAGTCTGCTTCTATGCTTTGTTGGAAAAACAGATAGCACCAAGATGCTTTTTGTTCATGGAAAGCAGGAAGAGATCCCAGACTGGTACTTGCTGGGCTAATTTCATTGCTCTGGGCATACAAAGTAGAAAGAATAAAAAATACACATAAAAATACACTGTAAAATGCATTAGATAGAAAAAAAAATCAATTCTAATAATTTACATGAAAAGGAGAGCCTCTCAAAAATACATATATTTAGCGTATGGGTATTGAAATACCTTTTTCAAATGTGCTAAGTTTGCCAGAGGAAAAAAGAAGAAAATTCATGTGTAGGACTCAAACAGAATATATGATTTTCAGCTCTTGACAGAGTGGTCTTTGAAAGTGCTTTATGGCAATTAGTCTCATGCTTTATAAGGGGTCGACTGAAATCAGTGGTGTTTCTCAAGCCCTTCTCAGCCTGAATAAGATTATCAGGACCAGCTTGCTAAATTGCCTCATGCTATTGCTGGTGAAGTGCCTTAAAACAAGATTTTTTTTAGCATGGTAGCTGTTTTCCATCACATTCAAGCTCCTGAATCCAGGCAAATGGATTTAATGAGCCTTTCTGAAAGTTTTTTTTTATGGCATTTTGCTTTGAACATATCCTTTCTACAGATAAAAGATGTATTTAAAAACAAATCAGCAGGTCACAGGACTCCCTGGCAGGACCTACTACAAGTGCTCCCTGCAAAGAAGAGGGATCGGTGGAAGGGCTGCGTGTTGCTTCGTACCCTGACATATGACACATAAATTT